ATCACGAAAAAGTCACCAAGACATCAGTGCTTTCCCTGAAACTTACTAAAAATGCTTCTAGTGACCAAACAGATGGCTGTGATGTACCCTTTGGGGCCTGGATGATCCCACACACATCTGTTGAAGGCCATTTTAGAGTGGCAGTGGGTGTCTAGACATTTTCTTGATAAGATCTAGAGTCCGGAGTTTATTGCCTGGAGAAAAAATGAGAATCTAGACTTGTCTGTCCAGCAGGCACAAGCCATAGGGGTTGGTACAAGAAACTTGGGTTCATTTTAGTTTTCCAGCAATTTAGTGAAAATGAATCATTGTTAAGAGAACTGTCCAGGCTTTCCGAAGCCTATGGCCAAAAGGGTTCAGTTTCTCACTTGACATTTGAAAAAGCAGAGCTCTAATAAGTGGGTAGGGGGAGATCCCTCTTCCTCACCAGGAGGAGGCGTAGGATAAACATTTTCTAGTGCCACTCACATGTTTCCACAAAACACCCTTACACAGATAAAGCCAGAGCTTCAGAGTCTCTTTTGAGCTGTGGGGCTCTTTGGCTTCAGGCCCGGAGCCCAGGGAGAATAACGGTTTTGTTCTCTTGAATGACATGTTCACCCTGTCACCTTAAATGAATGCAATATGGTAACAGAATGGGCCAGGAGGTGTGGGGAAAGGAAAAATTATCTGAGCTCCTCAGGGTTGGCACTGGAAGTCCCAACTGCTGGCTTCACAAACTGAGAGGTTTTAAGACAGAAACACTGAAACAAAAGAATCACTGTGCTCTAAGAATGCAGAGGTAACTCATGAGTTAGTACCATCCTCCATGAAGCACGCAGGCAGGGCCAAGGTGAGGAAGAAATGCAAGAACAGGTCTCCTATTGGCCTGAAAACAACCCTGTACATCTAAAATATAGCCCCACTGGAGACTCTAACATGACAGAGGATAAGGACAGAAGACAGGCTCCATATAGGGTGCAAATCTTGCATCAGCTTTGGTTCAGATCCTAGTTCTACCATATGCCTCAAACTACATTTTATTAATTTTTAAAATGAGAGTAATTTTCACTTCCATGATCTGTGACGATTAAATGGCACTTGGATATGAAGAGGTGCTAGGACCTAGTTCAGGATAGCTATGAGATTGCAGGAGTGGAGGGTGAGTTAAGAGGAGAAGGAAGGTCTACAGGGCAGAACACTGCAGAACTAAGGTTCTTCTCCCCACCATAATCCCCCAAGATGCCTTGACCCTCCAAACAAAAATGTACTATCCTGCCACCATATTCTGCTCATTCCTGGGCCTGGAGGAAGTTTAGGCTAGAATCAAAATTATCAGGTTCTTCAAACTCAACTCTCCTCTCTATCTCCTGTTGGGTGTCTCTGCTGGGGTAGATACACTGGCCATAAAGACATCAGAGCAGGAATCAGATACTAATGACCCTAGAGAGGACAAAGTCATCTTTTTCTGTTATGATTTATAAGGACTGAGATTGCCAAGAGCCAAAGGAAAAACATACTTTTTCCTCTCAGAGAGAATAAGAGGGAAAGAATGCAGCCAATCACATGGATTAGCAGCCCCCTCTGCCCTCCATCCTCACCGACTCCCTGTTGAAACCACACTCATAAAATAAGGAGACTTAAAACCTCCATGTGAAAGCTCTCCAGAATTTCTGAGATCTTCTGAGGTCATGCTTCTTGGGACAAGAATGAAGGTGATCCGAGATTTTTCCATGACATGAGACTGAAGGGGTCCATACTAATTCCTGTCTGACCCCAATGGGTGTCTTGTTCTAACACAAGGGAGTACTGCAGCGAGGACAAAGACCCTCAACATTGGCTCCCAGAACCATGAGAGAAACTATTAATAAAAATCCACATGTTCTGGTTATACCAAGAAATATGAGACCAAGTGTCTGGGGCACAGGATCCAGGCAGCAGTGTGCTTTAAGACCCTCTAGGTGATTCTAATGTGCAGCCAAGATTGGAACCTCTGGGTTAAGAGCTTGAGCCCTGTACCATGACTATTTGGATTCAAACTCACTTTGAATGTCATTTCTAACCTGGATGGCTTCACACAAGTCATTTACTGCTTTGTGTCCATCGATTCATTCGTAAGATAAGTTTAGACAACAGTGGTCAGTTTTAAAAGATAGTATAGAAGAACTACTTTGCACAATAACCAGGAAAAAAAACAACCTAAGTAACAGATAAATATAGGATGTGACTCTGGTAACACCTCTCAATAATAAAAGCCATTTACAGCACACAGACAGCACACAGGTTAAGGCGATACGCTTTTCAGTTTTGATGCCTGGAAGATCTGGGACCACAGTGAGGAAAGCCGGGCCCCCAGCTCCAGCATTAAACCAGATGTTCAGCCTCATGGTTTTCATGAGCAAGGGCAAGTACTGTCTCGGTCCAAATCTTGTCTCTGCATAGAACTAGCTATGTGGCCATGGGCTTTCTTGTCTCATCTGTGAGGCCTCTTTGTGTGTGCAGGAAGGAGAAGAGTCACCAAATCTTTAGTACACTGGCATGAAGCTTCAGTCCAAATAATTCAGATGAAAAAAGTGGCAGAGAATCCAATACCTGGTAAATGGTCTGTTAACATGTCAGTGAAGAAGACAGGAATTAACATGGATACTTATACCAGATGTTCACTTTAAGTAACAAGAGTATTTCTGGGTCCATATAATTTTGGGCTCGTCGTCTGGAAATCTAGTTGAGTCATAGATGGAGGCAAGTGGACATGCTGGCAAAGGACCCTTTATAAATTCTCCAAGCTGGCCCACTAAGGCTAATTATTGGTCCTGTGCACACAGATACACTATGAATTAGGAAACACCAGACTTTACAGAGATCATTTTTAGCCAAAGAGGACCTTCTGCTGCACCAAGATGACAAGAATAGAGATGATTGTAGGGTACCCTCAAATTCTAACAACCAGGACTTGTTTCTAGATCTTTGGCTTAGGGAATCCATAAGATGAAACAGAGTATGTCTAAAATTTTTTTCTCGTTCTCCACTCCTGCTTTCCCACATGCAAACCTCTAGTTACATGTATCTGGTGAAAGATAAACAAATTAAAATTGAATAAAATTAAATTTTCAGTTCCTCAGTTACTAGCCATATTTTGACTGCTTGGAAACCACACATGATGAGTGAATATATATCAGAGCATGAGGTTTGGAGCATTTCTATTATCTTAGAAATTGCAAAATCTTGCTGTAGACCAGGAAGAGCAGACCACACAGCTCCTGGGTCAACTCTGGGTTATTGCCTGTTGAGACATGTTAGCCAATCACTTTTAGTATTTTAAAGGGTAAAGTTAAACAAGAAATTATGTAACAGTGAACTATGTATTGTACAAGACCCAAAATGTGTAGAACTGTGTAAGGACTTTTGCTGTAGATCATATGATGTTAACATGTCAGTGAATCATATGAATCCTGAGGATGGAGATCCAATAGGATTTATCTTCTCTGCCTCACAGCTTATAACCTGTACTTTGATCATATGAATCCTGAGGATGAAGATCCAATGGGATTTATCTTCTTTGCCTCACAGCTTATAACCTGTACTTTGTGCTTGCTTGCTAGCACATGTATATGGGTTGCTCACATGGGACTCACCTATGTCTGAGTAGGTGGTAGTAGATGTTACAGTTGACAGTACAATCTCAGCACAGATCAAGGTGAATATTTAAAATTTTTTGTGGCTAAAACCAATATTATCATTTCCTTCCTCAAGGACATACAAGGATGCAATAGTGATGACAGGATAGAAAGGGCAACAAGTTAAAATAAAAATGATTATAGATTATTTTATAGAATAAATATTCAGGAAGCTATACTAAGATATATGTGAAATAGAAATCATAACAAGGCAAACACTATGGTAATGACTTTTGGTTGACATCATGTCCCCCTGACAAGATGCACTGAGAAAGACACAGCATCATCTCCATGTTTTTTTTTTTTTGCCAAAAATGCACACCCTCAGTCTAACTATGAAAGAACAACAAACAAACTTGAATCAAGGAATAGTTCACAGAATAACTGGCCAATATTCTTCAAAAGTGTCAAGATCATTAAACTCAAGGAAAGAACACAGAACTCTCACAGATTGGAGGAAGCTAATGAGGCATGATAACTCAGTACCAGAAGATGGAATTAGCTAGTAAACTGGGGGAATTCACATGAGGTCTATAGTAAACTAGCTAATGTGTACTATGTGAATGATAATTTCTGAATTCCATAACTGTTCTTACTTATATAAGGTTTCACCATTATGAAAAGTGGGTGACAGGTAAGTGCACAAATGTTAAAACTTTGCTATGTATAAAATCATCTTAACTTTTTCTTTAGTTTTTAACAATTTTCTATCTTTCACCAGCATCTAGAGTCCTTTATACACACACACACACACACACACACACACATACTTCTCAATCACTAAGCTGTATGTACTGACCTGCTTTAACTTAGCTTTCAGCTCCAACTACTTTCCCCATGGAAGCCCTCAAGGGGCAGCAGCACAAAGCAGATCAGAGGACAACTTTGTGGACAGGTTGACTTGGGTTTTAACTGCAACACCCTAACCTCGTGGGTGTCTCCTTGGCTGACAGCGTCAGTTCCTAGGTTGCCACCTCTGATAGGTCTTTCTTCCCTCCCCAGTTAAAGTCTTTCCTTCCCACAACCAACTTCTCCCACTCACTGGCTTTAGTTCCTTAGGGAATCTTTCCTCTCCAAAGTGCTTGTTACTTCTTAAAGACCACATCTGTTCTCTCACACCATCTTGCATCCTCGTCTGTTTGCAGGAATATCGGCTCTCCATTTCTACTCTCCTGCTTCACCCCAGAAGCTCCTTCAAATTTTGTATCCTCATCCTCTAACTCAGCCTATAACATCATGAAAGCTGACTAGTGTGCCACTCCCTTCTCTCATGATTTGTTTTAGTGTTGGGTTAAGATCTTGCCCAGGCCTCAGTGCATGCAACATGAGGAGTCTGTGACTTACTCATAAAACTCTGCTGCCGGTGTGAACTTGTACTTGGAGTACTTGGTGTGGTTGCCCAGCACAGAGCTGTTGAAGAGTTTAGGGTCAGTGCAGTTGGGGCTATTCCAGGCGTGGCCACAGTCCGTCCAGGGCAGGCTCAAAGTGAAGGAGGCAAAGAGGTAGTAGAACGACCAGGCGATGATGGCATTGTAGTAGAAGCCAACGTAGAGGGCCATGAGGATCACAGCATAACCAACTCCTGTGTGGGGACACAGAGGTTTGGCTTCCCCAAGCCCAGCCCTGGAGCCGCAGCTCCAGGGGAGTTGGCTCTGAGCACTGCACTCCCCAACACCTAAGACTCCTTTTCTGTAATGGAATGTCAGAGTCTCACTACATTCCACAGGCACCCACTATTCCTTTTCCTGACTCTGTCTTGCCACTGTAGCCCTCTGTGCTCACTTAATTGGGAGTTATGCCCCAGGGAGCAGCTGTGTAAGGAGTATCAGAACTCTCTCTCCCCTTTTCCAGAAAAACATGGTGGAATATTTCATACTCCATCCTCATGACCTGATGACATGCCCTTTATGGGATGACTCCCTTTCCTTATTCCTGAAACCGTTTCCCCAAATGATTTGTTACACTTAAGTCCTTGCTTTGGATCTGCTTTCAGGAGAACCTTCACCAATCAGAACTTAGCCCAGTTTGCTCTGTGAATTCCTCTCTCAATTACCTGCTTCACTGGCCAACATATTGCCTTTCTGAGTCCATGAACAGTTCCATTAGGACTAATTGTGTGGCTTTGTCATAAAGAAGACAATTTTTTTTCTTGCCTACCCAGCATTGCTTATCTATTGCTTAGACTATCCTTAAGCAAGTCTTATCCTGTGAGGTTTGCTTGAGAGTAATCACCTGAATCCTTTGTCTAGTCATAGGTACATGATGCAGGACTGGCCAATCAGAGAGCCACTTCTCTGTATCCACAGTTATTGGTTAATAGGTAAGCATGTGAGTCAAGTCAAACCAATGAGAGTCTTCTCTTGGACCTTCAAAGAAGCAATGAATGTATAAAGTATTTTTATTAAACTTGGTAGGCCATTGTTTATGGCTATCTTTGCTAGCAATTGAGAGAACATATGTAGGAATGATACTAATATAGAAGAAAACAGACTTGATCCTCAGAGAGAAATTTCAGACAATACAATTTTAATATCTGGAGTAAGCTGTACTTGACCTGATCCCTGGATTTTACTGTCACATTATCCAAAAACTTCCTCTTATGTTAATTCCAGTTTGAGCTGAGTTTATGGCAATTAAACAGAAAAGATACAATACATGTCTTGTAAGACTTGTGTATAGGACTGAGTATACAGAATATACTTTAAGACACTTGCAACTCAGAAAAGAGTCAAGGAAATCACATTTGTCCTCATCACCACTGGGAGACTCTAATCACTACTTGGGAGACTCTAAGTTTTGCTCAGTGTCACCAATGATCTAGGGGCCAAGGAATGACTGTTGTCATGGCTTTTTCCAGATATACTCTAAGATCCAAATGCAAGTAGGCCCATCTGAGATCCCAGTGGTAATTAGTCAGCTGTGGATATTGTACTAGGAATTTTGTGTGAGGTAGCTTTCTTCTTGAGCTTGAAAATATCCAGCATCAACTTATCAAGTCTGGAATGGTCACAAGAATAGAGAGCAGAGAGATGTGTGCTGGGTACTTCTGCCATTTCTCTAAGCATTTACCATGCATAAAAATAGACTCTTTCTGGTCATACAGCTGGCATAGTCTGGACTGAAGGCCAAGTTTTCAGACTTTCTACACTAATACTATTCTGTTAACTCCAAATATCTACATGTGACTTTTGAATTAGTGGATGCTCTTGACCTGATCAATACTTGTGATCCTCACAAGAGAGTTGGTCTATCTTATATCTCACCTTTGGAGCAGATTTCCTTGGGTCAATAAGGAAAAATTTGGGGAAAACCTTTGACTTCTCCCAGGCTGGTTGTTTACCTTTGAAGAAAGGGCAGATCTTCCACACTGTGGCTGCCCCCTCCCGGTTGTACTGCCCCAGAGCCAGCTCCATGTAGAACAGAGGCATCCCAGCAATGATGAGAAACAGGGTGTATGGGATCAGGAAGGCACCTGAGGGACACAGAAGCAGAGTGTGATCTATGAGACACCACTCCCTTGAAGTGCTTGGTCCGTGTCTACAAGAGCTGCTAGGATCCCAGTTCATCTGTTCACTTGGCCATTTCCCAGGGTGTGTTTTATGACAGGTAAATAGAGTTATGCATAGCAGTTAAAACAAATCACAGCAGAATAATAATATCACTAGTAATTGTGGTCATAATGATGTTCGATAGACAAATTAGTAAAGTCTAGGTTAAGCAAAGCTAAATAGGTTTATTTCTGGCAGACTCTTCCTATGAAGCACAACAAGGAAAATTCCAAGTGTGGCCTTTACCAAATTCATGTGAACACGTAAGCTTTTTGAAATCACTCTGGCAATGTCAATCTAACTCAAACCTTCCCTTTTATAGGTAATAAGTTGAGTTTGGAGAGAGACTAAAGCTAGCTACATATGAGCAGGTTTCCAATTATGATCACATGGATGTCAGAGGTATCACTGTAAAGTCAAGTACATGTGGCTGGGATCTCATTGAATTCATATTAGTCTCACAGCAGCCCACACACATAGTATGCAGCCAAGGTCACTTTGACACCTAGGAAATAGAGGGACAGAGAAGAGAACTGACTTTGTGGGTGGTGTTACTGGTACATGACAGAAGAGGATTTACATTCAAGTCTTCCAATCAGTTGAACTTACACTACTACAGGCAAGAGCTAAAACCCAGGGAACAGAAGCTCAAGGCTCTGACCAGGGCAGATGCCCACCCTGAGCATGGCAGAAATTCCAGGCATTCCTCGACAGTGAGCAGAAACTAATCCCTGGGAGAATCCCTGATGAGACTAGAAGTGTCATAGTTCCAGAGTCATCTCTCGGTGTACCCTGGCAACTTCAGGTGAATTTAGTGGATTCTGACACTGCTGTGTCAGTCTAGGCTGAAAACCACCAGCTCCTTCTCCACGAATCCTATTTTACAGTCAAGGAAACTGACAGTGAGAAAAATTAAGTTGCTGGTCAGAACTACTGAGTATGCAGTTTGGCTACAAACCTGGATCTGTCTGAACTGCATCTATTTCTCCTCGTGGATGAGTGGAGCCAGAAGGAGGAGCAGGAAGTAAGGTACTAAGCAGTCCCATAGGTCCAGTGACTCAGTTCTTTTCTACACAGCAAGGGAGGCAAAAATGACATCTGCCAATTAACTAGGCTCCTAGCTTTGGCCTGAGTTTACAAGTTGAAACCTCCAGGCAGTACTACCAATAAGCAGGTGAACTGCCCAGTCTGAGAGCCATCGCTTCTCTCGCTGATTGAGTCAGAGCAAAAGGAGGGTACAGAAGAGAACAAGGTCACTGGTGGAGTGGGCAGGTCTCTTCTTGGAGTGGTTTTGATGTGAGCCAGTCAGAGCTTCATTTCAATGAACATAGATCAAGAATATTCAAGAATGATAGAGTGGTTGAGCAGTATGAATGAAAATCAGAATACTGACCAGTGGACATTGCTACTTTGTAAGCCTTCTAAAAGAGGGCATCAACCAGCTGGCTGGCTTGAGTTTGCTTACAGAAAGAAAGTAGGCAGAGCCGAAGAGTCATATATGGGTGTTAGGTTGACTGAGGTCTGCTGAGAAGCAGCCTGCAATGGCTCTGTGAAGCCAAGGCTAGATTCAGCTCTCCTAAAAGCCACTGCCTTGCTAGGATCATACCTGCCACATTTTTGTGTCCTGGATACACTTCACATGTGGTGGTGCCAGCTACAACCAACCTCACACAGACCTGTGAACTTCAGGAGCCATAAGCCTCAAATTCTGTCTTGGCTTAAGGCCACTCTTGCTGTGTTGGTGCTGGGCTGACTGGAAGAGCTTGAAAAACACAGGCAGGACATATCAAGTAAGGAACTCAGCACCAAGAAATGCACAACCCCATTGCGATATATATTTTTTTTCACAAAAATATATGCAAGGGAACACCTAGACTTTGTGCACTGACACATAATCTCACAAGGAAAAGAAGCGAAAGAGGTTCAGATCCATTTTTTAATGGATTTAGTTTTTTAAAAATAAAGCATTGTCTTATGAGTGCATCTCACAATGTCAGACAGCACATCATTAAATCCCTGCTGGTTGCAGGGGGATACTGGAATCCTCTATGCAAGTACCAAGTCCTCAGAAAAGGAAATCAGAGGTCCCTAAGGTCATTAAAGTGGTTACCTATGCAAGTAAGGAGAACCTCAGGAAAAGAGAGAGGGTGGGAAATGATCAGTAAGGAGTGGGGTAGCCCAGGAGTGATGGGGAACTGGAGGAGGCAGAGGGAGAAAAGGAAGGGCTTGAGAAGAAAAGGTGGGGGTCTTCCGAAACTAGTCTGCAGGAGGCAAGATTTCTTGGATTGAATTCTGACCACATTTTAAAATATCCAAGTGGAAATCTACAGAGCTATTCCTTTAATGCCTACAGCTCATCTCTGACCTTCACTGTCTGTGACTAAGGAAAAGTTTGGTGAATGACTGTAGCAGCAAGTTTGTCCCCCATCCTCCAAACCTTTAAGAATATAGTGAACAGAGTGCAAAAGGGAATGAGATACCAGTCAGAAGACAGTTGCTCACAGGGGTCCTGCCCAGTACTGGCAGGGCTGGGACAAGAGGGCTGGGCCACACATGGTGGTCTACGGTCCCCATGTCAACAGAGTTAAAGATGAAAATCAAGGCACAGCTATTAACTGAAACACAGTCTATTTTCCCACTTTGACAAAGAGACCTTTGCAATGGTTCAATTATAAAGTTCAAATGTGGGATTCTCAATTCTTGGATCTCTGGGCTGGAATCTGGTTAATTAGAAACAACCCTGTTCGCCTCGTCCTCCACCTTCCTCACCTAAGCTCCACCCAGCAATGTGAGAGGGGTTCTGTATGTGCATGTGAACTCTTCACATGTGTAAGCTCTGCTCACAACCCCTGTGGACAAGCCCCTGGTACCCCTCAGAGCTGGAGCTGTGCAGACCTGCAGCACAGAACCCATGATGGAAAAAGAAACCAAGAAAGGGGGTCATGCTGACCTGAAAGAGGACTTGGAGCTGTTTGGATAGGAAAATCCAGCATCTGGGTACCTGGAGCACGGTGTGGGTGGGAGAAAGAGTTCTGGGTGGGAAGCGGAGGGGGACAGAGCTAAGTTCTCTAAAGGCCAGGGCACAGGATAGGCCCTTTGTCTGGAGTTAAAGATGACCCAAATCTTAGCCCTGCTATTTACAACCATGAGTCCTTGCACAAGTGCATTTTCAAAGCCTTAGCTGCCCGCTTCTTTGTAAGTCAATACAATAATACATGAGCCACTCGTTTGGTGTGATAATTGGAGATAGCCGAGATGAGGGGTCACACACTTGTTGAGTGCTCTGTAAATGGGAATTGTGCCCTGTCGTCACCCACAGGGCTGATGGGGCACAGCTTTGTCAACTGGAGACAGCAAGTAAAGGCTCTCTGTGTGACTGACAGTAGCCAGACCCTTTGCAAAGCGCAGCCCTGCACACAAGCCAGAGGCTTAGCAGTACAGATCTTGAAACAATCCTTTGGATTCCTTATTCCCCATCCCAAGTAAGGCCAGCTACTCCTCCTTCTATCCAAACAAGAATACTGATGACAAATGATACCTCGGGACATTCCTAAAAGGAGCTCCCCTAGTGCTGTACAGCACTTCTTTCAAGCATGAAGGACTTATTCCACTAGTAGCAGGGAAGGCTCAGTCCTTAGCTGCCAGTCCTTAGGGAGTTGCCTTTACTGAAGACAGCCTCCTCACACAAGCAGGCTTCCTGCAGCAGCTGGCATCCCATGACTCATCACACCCGGGCATAAAGTCCCAGCCCCTCACCTCACCTCGTGACAAGTGAGAGTTCGTCTTAGCTTCAAAAACCTGTGGAGCTGGCTGAGACTGCCTCACTGTCCATCCTTTCCCTCTGGCTAGTGCTGTTGAATTCCCTCCTCTAATCCCCCTACAGCTACACCTGTTGATTCCCTCCTAGCCTCCACTCTCTATTTCTCCCTGTGGAAAGTAAAATACATGAATATTCCCTAAAGAAATTCTTTATGTCATTAGCCTCAAGCGTAGGGTCCCACACAGAGGCTTTGCCAGTCATATCTGGGATCCTATGACCTTTTCTACAGGAAAACTCTCTGTCCTTGTAATAAACCAAGCCCAGATCATTCAGGTTTGGCAACACAGAAACTCTCTGCTGGGTTTAGGATGGCTAAACCATGTAGAATCTGCTTTATCCTTCTTCTGATCCAGGTTGATCTCCTTAGGACCCTGGACAACCACCAAGGATCCCGTTAACTGGCTTCAGGTTCCTACAACTTTGGCCCAGATGCTACTTTCCCTTGACATCAGTGACTAGCCCGGAGCATCTGTATAAACCATCTACACAGCACAAATCCCTGGTGTCATGAAAAGGACTATTACACAAAATGATGAAAACTGGCCTTTCTGGTCTAACGAAGGATCAGTCCTTCTCCTCCATCTTCATCTTCACCTTCATCTCCGGCTAACCCTTTGTTTTAGACTTGAGACCTGGAAACAGGTTCAGAAAGGAAACACTGCCAGTCCTCAGTAAGTGAAACCTAGCACATCTAATGAGAAGAATGAGGTATAATTCAGAGAAATGGGTGTTGGGGCTGCTTCTTCTGAGCAGTTTTGGGTTCCAAGCTCCCTTTTGGTCTCTTTACAAGTGACAAGTCATGTGCTTGGAGGGTTCATAACTATGTGGTGAAGGGGAATATAATCTACAAAGAACAGAATATAACCTCACCTCCCTCATTTGGAATGTAATATCTTCAACAATAGAATTAAAGTGGCATTAACTTTTAGGATATCTCCAGTAGACTACGATCTCTCTAAAGACAGCAATTTTCTTTTGCTCCTCTTTGTATTCCTGGCGTATGGTGATAGTTTAGTAAATGATTTTGGTTAAATAAGCAAATTCCAGAAGTAAGTTGCATAGAAGATACAGCGAATGAAAGCCCCAAGGCTAGGTAGTTCAGGT